TTTAAAACATTTTCAGGTAAAAAAAAATGTGCTGGGAGAAAATAAAGATTAACCGCTATCTGTACATTTTCAAAAAAAATTATGAGAAAGAGATGAGGGACAGCTTTTCTACTTTATTTTCTTACTAAATTCTTAGAGAAGTACTACAAACATACACCACTAGACATAAGAACGTTGCCTTTGCTTTAAGTCATGTAAGTTAAGATCTGTTCTGCTTAGATTGTTGTCAGTTAATGGCATACTTTATGTAAAAGCACAACACTTTGGGTGAATGGATTCTGTTCCTTTTTTCATCACTTACAGCCTCTTGCAAAGATAACAAGAAGCTAGTATTCATTAAAAAAAAATAGAGCAGGTGCGTCTGTACTATGTCAGTTAACCTGGTTCACATAAACCACAGAAAATACAAATCACATAAAACTCAAACTCCTACGTAATAATTTAAAACACTCACAGAAAGTTAATTCAACATAAGGACAGAAGAGGGCAGAGTAGAATTTTTAAAATTACATTTAATCAAAGTGTTATAGTCCATACTCAACTCCTATCCTCAACCCCCTCCCCAAAAGAAACACCAACAAAATGATATTCAGGGAAAAGACATCGTATTTTTGCATTATTTGGTACTAATCTAATTCAATTTAGGAGTTCTAGTGGGTTGTGTTTACCTAATCTGCTTGTCATAAATTAAAGGTTAAAATGTTAGAATAGCTTGGTCTAATTAACCTAATATAGATATCAAAGTTTAATAGAGACTTACAAAATGGAACACATTATTACAAAATAGCAGCAGATTATTAATGTAATAAAGATAAAAAGTATTACAAAAGCTTAAAAGTAGCACAAACATCCACATTGGCGTACAAAAGTGAGTGAGAGGATAATAGATTAAACTAAAAGCTGCTCTGTGGGAAAAAAGCTAAAAACCAATATAGTCTAGGTAATTTATTTAAATTATCTGTACTTTACATGTTATACTCAGGTAGGAGAGAAAAGGGGAAAAAATTCAAAATTCATTTCATGGGGAAAGTAAAAAAGGCTAATATGCAAAGGGTCATATGCAAATATGACCCCTGGCAGGAGGCTCCTACTTTGAACAGAATGCTACAGAGGAGCAAGGATTTGTTTCAATGTTTAAGCCATTACGCTGCCTTCAGCAGAACAGCAAAAGCCCATGTAGACCAACACATTTTCCTCAGGGAGCAAGAAGAGTAGCTGACACAGATTTACAGGCAAATAGACGGGCATTTATGAAATATTAATAGGGTCTTATTGTCATGGGAAGTAGATTGTCAAAAATGATTCTCCAAAAATCTTACTGGCAAGCTGGAGCTGGTGACATCCTAAACTGGTAGCCTCCCAGTGACATTTCCTGAATACTAATTCTCTCCATACTGGCTGCCCACCTCCTGGACTTCCTTCTTCCTGATGCTGGCTATAAAGCTGACCTTGGTCAAGTCATTTAACCTTCCACGGCCCCAGTTTATTCATTTGTAAAATGAGAAGGTTGAACTAAGTAGTCTTCAAAGTCCCTCCCAGCTCCAGATCTTTGATCATCTGAATCTCAAAGCCATCTCTCCATAAGCTATGTTGCGGTGACACAATGGGATAGTGCATCAGCATCTGCTGTATATTTCAGTCTTCTTAAATCACCTCTTGCCATCAAAAGTTTTAACTTTTTAGTAGTTTTCCTGAAAATCAGAAATTATGAACAGGCTGCAGCTGTCTGCCTGATGAGCCAAGTGCTTTAAAAATAAGGCTCTGTGCATAATTATGTCGAATTTGATAAAGATGCAAATCATTTCTTGGCAAGGATCCATCTTTTTCATTACACTTCAGTTCTTCAAAGGGGTTTCTTCTTTCAAAAGGAAAGAAAGAAGAAAAACAGAAAACCACATCACAGAATAGCTCAGAATATTTCACCCTTACTCCCATTAAATATACCACTACTAACAAATGGTATCACTTAAACATGTAACTAGCTACTGCTCCACAAGAATGATGAGAATAGCAGGTTACAAAATGTCCAATGCTCAGGTCATAGAATTTCATGCAATCTCCTTTTCTGAACTAAGTTTTAGTCTTAAAATTGGAAAGGACATTAGACATCGTCTAAGTCAAGTTTTCACCCAACTAGGGAACATACTCTACAACATTGCTGACACATCATCATTTGGTATTTGCCTAAATACACGTAGGAATGGATAACTCACCACTTCAACTAAAGTCCCCACGTTTTGAGTATTTGTTTTTTTAATGAACTGCTTGCTGTCAAGCCACGTCTCCTTGCAGCTGTATCTCAGTTTATTTTTTAACTTCCATGAAGGACATCTTTCCCATTATCTTTTGTATATGGAAATGTTTGTGTTTGTTATTATTTAAGTTCATAATAGAGAAAATTTTTAAAATGAAGTACTGGAGATATAAAGATTTCCATTAGCTGAAGTTAATACATTTCATTAGTACTACTACTCTTCATAATAATGTCTAGCATTTATATAACACTTTTAAGGTTTACAAAGTGCTTTACACATATATATCTTATTTGATCCTCACAAAATCCTGTGAGGTTGGCACTATTATCATCCCTCCTTCACAGATGAGAAAACTGAAGTTGAGAAGTTCAATAACTTGCCTATGGTCATACAGATAAGAACTGAGGCAGGATTTGAACTCAAGTCTTTCTGACTCACAAAGTCCAACACTATGTACCTAGCTGCATTAAAACAACAAAATAAAGGAACTTCTCTACATTAGAGAAACATTTTTCAACTTGTCCACAGTGTGAGAGATGATCTCTCAAAAGTGAAGCCTCCTCAGGGGATCAATAGTTGTTGTTAATATTTCTTGATGGTTGCTTTCAAAACCCTCCTCCGCTCAGACCCTGGTTGTTGTTTTTTTTTAAATGCTTAGCAGAAAGAATAGCCCTGCCCCCAACCTCAACTGCTTGCCCTTTCAAAAGCTTCCCCCCTTTTCTTGTCTCCGGGATAAGGGGGAAGGGGGTTAGGGAGGGGAAATTGCAGTAAATTTTGGTTTCCTAGGAATTACCTAACTCATAGGAATTCGGCCCTAAACCCCCTCCTGATCACCACACCACTGCTATGTCAGCATTAGGTTTACTAAATAAGGACATGTATGTTTGAATTGGCTATATCCTGTTTTCTTGTTCTTTGTCTTTGAATTTTCCCACCTAGAATGTAAGCCCGCCTCTCAACCAATGGGAGTAAGGGATAGTGATGGGTGGAGGTTTGTTTGTGTTAGGGTATATAATCTCATTTTGCTTTCTGTGCCTCGCCCTCTCCTCCTGGTGGTATACCAGAGGAGCAGACGCCCCTTCTCCCGAGATTGTAATAAAAAGTAGCTTTTGCTTCCACCTTGAGAAGTCTCTGGGTTTAACTGATTTAGAGTCACTGTCCCACACAATAGGAATATTCTATTCTTTTATTATACAACATCAGCTCATTCCTTTGTTTTGTTTAAGCTTCTTTTTAAAACATATTGCCTGAAAAGCCACCAGCCATCTTTTTCCACTCTTTAAAAACAAAACAAAACACCCCTGAGTAATCACAACTCCAAATCCAAAATCAAACAAACACACAGATATAGCTAACTTTCCTAGCAACTGAAAGGCCTGAAATTTAATTAACAGAATGGAATATCAGGGCATGTACTAACAACTGCTTGGTATGAAAGTACTGCTAAAATTCATAGTTCAATCCTAAAAGGTAAAACTAAACATGGAAACCAGATGGGAAACATATAGTTAGGGTCAGATTTCTTGGTCAACAGATGTCCCTATCACTCTCTAGAAATAAATCTGCAAATTCAAGTTCCTCTGATCTGGTCATAAATACGAGAACATACAATAGAAAGTAGGGAAAAGTGGCAGCTCTGCATACCCTGCATATTTTTGGGCATAATGTTCACTAACGAAATAATTCTACACAGATCCAGTAGACTCCACAGTTTTTGTTGGCATTTTTCTGGGAATTACCTGGTTTGAATCATAATAATTACTGAGTTATAAAGTGTTCAACTACTATAAAAAACTAAAAATTTTATTTATGTATAAAAAACTAAAACTTTACTTTCACAATGTATAAGAAAAGATCTTATTTTAGTATCCTGTGCCATAACTTTCCTCTATTTTTATAATAGCTGACAAATTGATTCACGGTTCACAAGCTACTTTAGGTCCATTATTTCATTTGATCTGCATAACCACAGGAGGAGGGAAAGCTAAACATTAATATCCTATTTTATAGATAAGGAACCTAAACCTCGAAGAAGTTTAAATGACTGCCGTAGGATATAGGATTAAAAGGATCAAAGCATATAGAAACAGAAAGAAATTAAAAAGACTCTCCAGTCCAAATTCCTCATTTTACACATTAGGAAAGTAAGGCCCAGACTAGTTATAGGATTTGTGTAAGCCGACCAAAAGTTTTGACTCAAAGTCTACTGCCATCATCATCTCATTGTTGTGACTGAAAAAAACCTTAATGGTGTACATATCTATAGTCATCCATCTCTATGCCAGGACAATAATTTGAATAGGTTATATGGCAAAAATATGGCACAGCAAGCTCACTCAAAAACTAAAAGTAACTTGGAGTACAGGGGGTAAAAAATTTTTTGAAAAGTGAGAAAAAAAAGAAAAAATTCTCCACAATATCCCCACCTCCACAAAAGCAGACATCCTAGGGTATATAACATAAATGAACCTCCCACCAGAGATCTTGGAAATCTTGATTTTTTTTTCTGCAGGATTTATTACTTTCCACTGAGCGTCCATTCATGCAGTTTTCTTCTTGTTTCTATTCATAGCACCAGATCCTTACTAGCATGCACAACCTCAAAAGAAAAGAAAGACTAAATACAAACTGTGTAAAAGAAATAAAATAAAAAAAGCAAGACACAAAACACACAGTAAAAAGAAGGGAGTCCTGGGACTAGAATTTTATAACCAACATATTATCATTAGCTCTTGCTGGACTTACCTTGTATGCAACACTATTAGATGAGTCCACAATGATAAACAGAGGTTTTCTGGTAAAAGGATAGAGATCTCCAGGATGAAGGCTAGGAAGAGAAATAAAGAACTCAGTAAGCCCAACCATCCAAGTCAAATATTACAGGCCTTGTTCTTTTTTTAATGCTTCTTTTTTTAGCTAATACATAAGAAAAAGAATTTTTAAATTTTTGTCAGTTTTTATTTTTTTATTTATATTTTCACTTCCACATTTTTTCTCTCCCTAACCCTCTCCCCTGCCCACTGAGAAAGAAATATGATACCCACTGTAATCAAAAGGATTACGTATCGCGAAGATTCAATTTAGGTTCGGATCTCAAGATATAATGACACGTACTCAGGATAAACTTAACAAATAATCACATTTATTTACAATGATTAATAATGATTAAAAACCACACAAGCAATAATGGTAAGAATAACATTCAATGCAATAAGTAATAATCAACATAAAGGAAAGTAGGAATAAGAAAAGAAAGGACACATACTCACTGACCAGGCGAGCTCAAATATCTAATAGACCAGGGAGACCAGAGAATGGCCAAAAGGTCTGGTCAAGGGAGGCAACAGGGAGCATCCTACCCCGAGACACAATGAAAGCCCTGCACGTGATCCGCTTCCGGCAGAGAGCTGGCGTCCCTATCTCTGCAATCAAAGTCTCCAAAATCTCCCTATCCAATGACCCTTTTTATATCCATGTAAACCAGGGAAAGATAATCTGGATATTTTGTTTTGTGTACGTATCCTTGGTGAGCGCTCACGTCCAGGCACACACACATCTCTAACAAAAGTTGGGGCTTGATCAGAGCCACAAATACCTGTTTGTTGTGTAAGTCTCCAAGGAGTGATCAATTCCTTGGACAGTTACACACTTTTCTCAAGAAAAATGTTCCTTGAGATAAGTTGGTTTCCCAGGTAACATGGCTTGTTGGTTTGTTACTTAATGTTTTGTCTCCATGGTCAGCTCCGGCCATGCATGATAACTACAATTTATCTTTATGTGAGGTCATGAGGCAGTTACACTGTTAGGTCATGAGATGGTTACACAGGGATCTGGGGAGGTTCTATCCTCCTCAGTTTCCCTTACACCCACAGTCATGCAAAACATTTCTGCATTAGCTATGTTTGGAGGGAGGAAGGAAGCAAGAAAATTAAAGAAAGCGAGAAAATGTTTCAATCTGCACTGTAGCCCATCAATTATCTATCTGGAAGTGGATAGCAATTTATATTATGAGTGCTTTCGAGTTGTGGTAGATCATTGTGTTGATCAGAGTTATTAAGCTTTTTATAGTTGATTTCCTTATGATATTGCAGTTACTGTACACAGACTGTTCTTTTGGTTCTGCTCACTTCATTTTGCATCAGTTCAGACAAATCTTTCCAAGTGTCTCTGAAAACATTCCCTTCATCATTTCTTATACCACAATAGTATTCCATCACCATCATATACCATAACTTGTTCATCATTTCACCAACTGATGGGCATCCCCTCAGTTTCCAATTCTTTACCACCACAAAAAGAACTACTATAAATATTTTTGTACATTGTGGGTCCTTTTCCCCTATTTATGATTTCTTTGGGATACAGACCTAGTAGAGGTATTGCTGGAGATATGCTGGTATATGCACAGTTTTATCACCCTTTGGGCATTGCTACAAATCGTACTCCAGAATGGCTGGACTAGATCACAACTCTACCAGCAGTGCATCAATGTACCTTTTTTCCCACATGCCCTTCAGCATTTGTCATTTTCCAATCTAGCAGGTGTGAGGTGGTGCCTCAGAATCCTTTTAATTTGCATTTCTCTAATTATTAGTGCTTTAGAGCATTTTTTCATATGACTATTGATAGCTTTGATTTCTTCCTCTGGAAACTGCCGGTTCACATCATCTGACCATTTATTAACTGTGGAATGGCTCCTATTTTTATAAATTTGTCTCAATTTTCTATACACCTGAGAAATGAGACCTTTATTAAAGAAACTTGCTGTAATTCCCCCCTCTCCCCGTTTCCTATTTTTCTTCTAATTTTGGCTACATTGGCTTTGTGCAGAAACTTTTAAAATTTTATGTAATCAAAATTATCCATTTTACCTTTCATGAACCTCTCTGTCTCTTGCTTGGTCATGAATTCTTCCCCATGCATAGACCTGACAGGTAATTTATTCCATGTTTCACTAGCTTGTTTAAATAACCCTTTATGTCTAAATCATGTACCATTGTAAGCTTGTCTTGGTACATGGTGTGAGATGTTGATCTATGCCTAGTTTCTGCCAGACTATTTTTCAGTTTTCCCAGTAGTTTTTGTCAAATATCAAATTCTCACCTCAATAGCTGGAATCTTTGGGTTTATCAAACACTAGGCTACTATGCTCATTTGTTTCTGTATATTGTGGCCTAGTCTATCCCATTGATCAACTTCTCTGTTTCTTGCCCAGTTACCAAGCTGTTTTGACAATTAGAGCTTCCTAACATAGTTTGAGATCTGGTACTGCTAGGCCCTCTTCCTTCACTGTTTGTTTGTTTTTTTAATTGATTCCCCTTGATTTTCTTGACCTTTTATTTCTTTAAATGAATTTTGTTATTATTTTTCTAGTTCTATAAAGTAATTCTTTGGTAATTTAATAGGAAAAGAATTAAAGCTAGCTTGGGGAACCTAAAGTCTTGAGGGTTACACAAGTAGTGTCTGAAGTGAGATATGAAAAAAGGCCTCTAGATTCCAAGGGCAGAACCCTTCCCACTGAAATAGAAAGATTTGAAATGCTATGAACTTTAGGAGAGGGTATCTATTTCTTGTTTTTCAGAAAGTGATTCCAAGTGCTTGTCTTGACAAAAAGGGAAGGGATTACAAAAACCATTAGCACAACTTAAATTCTCAAGCTCCTTAAACCTTAAAATCTATATATGTTTCTAAGATGTTAGAAATATAAATAAGGATTTCCTTTACTCTCTCTGAATAATAGTAATTATATATTAATAAAACATTATTACTGGAAATGACCTTAGAGATTATCTGATTCACCTTTTTCACTGTTTAAATGAGGAAATTAAAGCAAGACTATGATTTGCACCATGTAAAACAGATAGTAGGATTCAGTCACTTACAGCACTGTTTTAGTAGTTAGGAGATAGAATTAAGATAGAGCCCTCACCCTTTCCTAGCTTTCAATCTCTCAAAGTGGGATATACATATATACTAGCATGCAATAATGATACTAAATAACTAGAATGCAGAATATGAGAGGTATAAGGCGTTATGGAAGATCTGAGGAATAAAAATGATTCCTGACCAGAGAGATCAGGAAAAGAAGCGCTAAGAGAAGACCAAGGTCTCCTGATTACCAGGTAGGTGTCCTTTCCATTAAACCATATTGTCCCTTCTCTCTCTGGAGCAGAGATTGGCTTTTGGATGGCAGAATGTTTCTCTTCCCATGCCAATACCATTAAGTCCCACCTTTCTAGCTGTCAAATATAGGTTTGCCCTCTTACTATTCAACATCAAGCCATTAGTAGGAAGACAAAGGAAAAGAACAACATTGTTGTGAAGAGGGTCTTTGGAATATGACTTTCTACCTACAATTCTGCTTATATCAATTACCAGAGCTCTCAGTTTCAGAGATCTTACTCATGTTAAGATCAGTATGAATAAAAGGATTCTTTCTTTCTTGGATAATCAACAAAAAGCCTTCAGTAACTGGTATCAATTGGCTCTGTCATTCACTGATTAAGTGAACTTAAGGAAATCATTCTGACTTTCTGAGCCTCAGTTTCCTCATCTTTGCTCTGCAAAGTACTATATAGCTCTAATATTTTAAGTTCTGATTACCTACCATTCCATGTTCTTAGGTCCGTATGCCTTCACACTTTACATTTCAAAGATCCCTTCCCAGCAAACCTATTTCTAGGTTAATTTTGGATTTTAATGAATGCTTAATTATATTCTGTTGCATCTCTCTATTACTGGAAATCTTCTATTTCAATAGGAAGTATACAACAGGACTGACATACTTAGGTGTCACAAAAGATAGAGCTCTGAGCCTGGGGTCAGGAAGACCTGAGTTGAAATCTGGCCTCAGACACAGCTGTATAACTCTAAGCAACTCTCAACCTCTATTTGCCACAAAGTCCTCAACTGTAAAATGGGGAGAATAATAGCAACTAGTAACTACCTCCTAGGGTTATTCTGAGGACCAAACCAGATAATAACTGTTAAGTGCTTAGAATAGTGAACTGCACATAGTAGGTGCTATATAAATGCTTGTTTCCTTCCTTCTCTCCCCACCCCCGAAAGGAATAGCTGAAAGTTAGCTCAGCTCTCTTACCAGTGCATTTCTTTATGGGTCTGATTTCGTTTGTGGATGGCATCTCCATTTATAATATCTCGATTACTATTAGTGAGGACTCCTCCAAAATCATATGGGCCTGTAAAACGAAAGGGAATAAAACCTGACATTAGTTGGAATGTTACTGTTTATCTTAGGTTCAAACAAAATGAAAACAAGTTAACATACATTCTCATCAGGAGAGAAAGAAAAGTACACATTTTCTAATCACATTATATAATGCAGCATCTATTCTAAACAATTTCAAGTAGTGTTTACTTCAACATTATTAAGGGTTTTTTGCATTATTTGTTTGTTTCTAAATTAGGGAATAATGAGAAACAAAGTAAAAACTTACTATATGACATTATTGGGAATAACAAAAGTGATGGAAAACTTGAATTATTATAATTAAACTTCCAAAAAAAACCTCCTAACATTTCATATGAAAATTAAAGTCAACAGGTCCTAAATATTATGTGAAACAATAGACATAAGAATTGAAATTTTTCCTAATAATCTCTTATAAAGAGCTATGGGAAAATTTACCTATTTTTAGGTTTGCTCTATAAGCAAACATTACTGAACTATTTTAGAAGTTTGGGAAGTCTCATAATGATAAATATTTCAGTATCAAGGAAACAGCAGCAAATGTCAGTGCTATATCAAGTGCCTTGTTAAGGTGAGCATGGCATAGTACACAGAGAGACATACATAAAGCAAGAAGAACCCAGGTTCAAGTCCTATGTCTAAAATATTCGAGGAGTGTGACCCTGCACAAATCACTTAACCTCTCAGTGTTCTAGACCAGTGTCATCAAACTCAAATCCTGCAGGCCACATATTGACTTAGAAAACCACAAAATAACATCATCTATACTGTACTGTGTTTTTATTTTCCTAAACATTTTTCAGTTACATTTTAATCTGATTTGGGCCTCACAGGCTGTGAGTTTGACATCTCTGTTCTAAGAAATTCTCTAGGACTATAAGTTGCAGACTTACATTTCTCACCTGAAGTTCTCTATATCAATGAGATCTCCAGTTCCTATCCTCTGCCCCTTTCTGAAGTTACACTTTAATATTATGAAATATTATTTTTCAAACTATTTCATCATGAAGCAATGTGGCATAATAGAAAATGTGCTGTTCAAACTGGCTCTGATACCTTCAAGCCATGTGACTTTGGGCACATCAATTCCCCATTATAGGCCTCGGTTTTCTCATCTAAAAATGGGAATGATCATGTTTACATGCTCTATCTTACAGGGTCATTCTTTGGAAAATGTTTTATAAATCATCATCATTGTTTTTCTTATTCTGCATATTCTGAGAAGTCTGTAAGATCAGAGGAAATCCTTCAACACACTGGAAGACTAGAGGAAAGACTTGAATAAAAATTGTACAAAATAATAAGATGGAGGACAGGGGTTTACAATATGCATCAGTGGAGGGAATAACTAACCAAGCAAAAATAAGGATCCACAAAAGAATCTATAAATCCAGAACTAGGTATATTTAATATAATCAAACATACTTCTGAAGTTAGCTTCTAGGATGACTTAGCTACTGTGAAACATGACTAAAAATATGGTATTTCACTATAAGAAGTTAGAAAATGAGCAAATTAGTAAAGGTCCAATATCCTAGGCATTAATGTTTTTACCAATCACACATTAGACACAGTATAGAATCCAAGTTACTTGTCCACAGAGGCTTTCAAGAGTAGTTACTAGAAATAGTAAAAATAAACACACTGTGGAACAAACAGAATCCTCTTTAACGAAAAATTCACTTCAAGTTTTCAGGTTTAAGAAGGAGAGGCAAATAGGGAGGAACCCAAAGTCAAACTGGCTAGCCTAGGTACAAGAAATATAAACCAGCATACACTGATGCAAATAATACATGAAATATCAAATTGTATTTTTCTTACCCCCTCAAAAAAAATCACTGCAACAAAAAAACCTCAGAGATTTTCTTTTCAGCATTTTAAGAGAGTCTATGAGTCATGCAAGGAAGAGGAAAACAGCATGCTTCATATAAAGGAATGCAAGTTTCAAAACAGAAATGAGTTGAAAAAAATATTAAGAAAATGAGATAGAATTTCTTTCCACCAAAGAAACTGTTTTAATTACTTAAATCAACTTATCTAAATATTCTGACCATTCTATTCCTATCAGAGAGTTTTCAGTTTTACCAGCAACACCCTAATATTCAACTTGGTTTAAAAAAAAAAGAGAAATGTAAAGAAGGACAGAATCAACAAAATCATGACAAGGGCTTGAACTTTCACAGTAATAAAAATACAATAATTTCTACAAAGATTCTCAGCCACACTGCAGCCACAGACCCAACTATAATTCACTAGGGGTTCAGGGAACATGATCATGAAGGAGAAAATCATGTTATGAAATCCAGAACAACAAACCAAATGAGCTTTTGGGGGTCTTCAAAATCAACAATGTTCAGATGATATTCAGGCAAAAACTGAGGCATGCTCTTAATGTGTGATCAATAGGTTCATAGAAACATAGAATTTAGAGCTAGATTGTATTTTAGAGATGATGATCTTATCAAATTCCATTTTATAGAAGGAAATTGAGGCCCAGGGAAGTAAAGACACTAAATGGTCATAACTAAAAAGCAATTGAGCATGATTTCAAATCTACAGGTCTTTGGACTCAGTCTAGGGCTCTTTCATGTGACTAACACATTTCTATATATACTGTTTAAGCAAATAAAATTAGCTGGGGGTCTACAGAAGCATTACATTCAAAGATAAACTGGAACTTTAAATTGGATGCCTCTTGAGAAAGGCATTTTGAGACAGTCAGGAGGCCACAGGCCATCATCTTGCAGAATATAAAGAGAATTCAAGCCTTGCTCATGACAGGGAGCATTCCTTTATTATACCTTCACTATCAGAACGACCTGTGGGAAAAACTCCAGTGGCTGACAGGTAAATCAGGAGCACACTGTTGGCTGGCAGCTCCTGGAATTTAAGACATACACATATATAAAACAATAAATAAGGAGAAATGTGCTTTTTAAAAAACAATTTGTGACATATTCAAGAGCAATAAATTCCCCTACCACAATGTGGTGACAGCTAGAGCCAAATTTAAAATCCTATTCTATTTTCCAGCAGAAATTTTAGTTTTGTTGGCTTAGAGATCACAGAACATGAGAGGTGCACGGGGCTTAGTAATCATCTTGGTCCAATCCCCTCATTTTAAAGATAGTAAAACTGAAGCTTAGAAAACTAAATGACTAGCTCAAGGTCACACAACTATTAAATAGCAGAGGTGGACCCATACACAGGTCTTCTGGCTCAAGTTTAACGGCCTTACCACTAACAACACTTCTACTCTGTAATTTCTACTTGTTTCGTAACTGTCTACACAACAAATAATCAAAAAGCTAACCACTAATCAATGTATATATATCATCGCAAGTTATAAAGATTATTTTTAGACACTAACACCCAAGTAATAAGTATCTTTTGCATACCTAAATTCAGATTTGGAAGTAGTTGGGTGGTGCCATGGATAGAGTACTGGACTGGGAATCAGGAAGATTTATTGTCCTGAGTTCAAATCCAACCTCAGAAACTTAAGAGCTGTGTGACCCTAGGCAAGTCACTTAACCCTGTTTGCCTCAGTTTCTCATCTGTAAAATGAGCTAAAGAAGGAAATGGAAAACCACTCCAGCATCTTTGCCAAGAAAACTCCAAATGTGTTCATGAAGAGTCAGACATGACCGAAAAATTAACAACAAATTCAGATTCAGAGCTAGAGTTAGGTTAAAAAAAAAAAGGCAGGGGTCTAATACACAGCAAATGGAAAGGGTGGTACAAGAGACAGCTTTTAAGGTACAGATTTTTATAACTGCATGAATGCCCCAGTGAACACTTATTCATACATAAATGGCACCCTTTTCAAAAGTAAAAGGGTATAACACTCAAGTCTTCCTAGGTTGCAAAAATGCCTTGTTCCAGCTCTGCCTAAAATAGATACATAATAATTACTGGGCTAAAAGACAAACTCTCCTCTCAGGCATGTTTAAAAAGCATCTATATTGGGGCTGAGAAAAAAAAATCTGAGATCTTTAATCTCCCAAGTTGCTACAAATGAAGCAAAAGTATATTTAGGGTGCTTCTTGATATCTGACAAATATACATAATAAGACACTGTTTCTCCTGATGGGGTACTGGCAATAACTATTATGCCTGCAGTGTTTGGGGCATGAACACTTAATAGTAAGCACAGTGGTAGTTCACCAACACATTTCATTAACTTTGTTGAAAAAAAAATTCATTAATTTTCCTCAGGAAAATATGTATCACAAGCTCTTTCTATGCTACACAGTGATACTTAGGATTCGTATTTTCCCAGTTCAAAAGTAGGTGTTTCATTTTAATATGGCTCACCAAATTTGTCACTAGAATAGTTAATGATCTGTTTCTTAGAGGACCCATTTTTTTTCTAGGCAATAGAAAATGTGATCACACAAACCTTAAAAGAAGCTGCTAAAAATGTATATAGCTGGCTGAAGGTTGGTTTGTACAGCAGATATTTATGAGGGTTTTCTCGCCGGGCAGGCTTGTCAGCAGATTCCTGTAACCATACAAAATACCAAAAAATAAATAACTCAAGTTTATTTTAATGGACAATTTTCAATGTTTTTCATGAAGCAAATACGTTCTGGTACACTAACTAACAAATGCTATTTTATTGGACCTTCCTACTCACGTTGCTTATGAAAGAAAAACTTTTATGGCTTAAGGCCTTTCACAGAAGACCTCCTCTGATATATGAACATGGTATAAAGGTAGATCTACATCTTGAAAGCTACTTCTAGTAGTGTCTAGCTTTGATATTTCTAGCTCTGATTACAGATTCAGGGAGGAACTATGTGTCATTTGAGGATGAGCCTAGCCCAATGCAAAAGGCTCACTACCAGAATACCAGTTAGTTGATGAAACATATTCTGATCATAGTAAAAAAAAAAAAAAGAAGACTGTACAAGTAGTAGAGGGGTTGCAATCTACATCTGTGAAAGAAACATCCATAGTAATGAAAACACAGATCTTTTGAAGGCCTGAAGAATTGCTTTTACTGTACACCAATCCCTGGGTTATAAAGAAATATAGACTTCCTTCTGTATGTAGTACAAGCAGCTCAAAGTGTTTTATCTAGCTTAAAAACCACAGAGGAGTGTCACCTGCATTCCAGGTTTGTTCATCTGTGAAGCTAAATTCATTGGCTCTCGTTCTAAGGCTTGTAACATCCGGAACATGTCAACCGTTAGTTCACTGAACTTCACCTACAAAAGAAATAGACCAAAACATTAATACATTGGTCAAGGGAAAGATACAGTCTTAAGCAAAGCCCAGTAAACCAAAGAACTTAATTATAACATGCTGAAGAAGGCTACTGTCAACTTTAACTCCTTTTCTTAAGTTCTCTTAACTATAAAGAAGCCCCATAAGTAACTAGTCAGTCAATAAACATTGATTAAGCACATACTATGTGTCATGCACTGTGCTAAGCACTGAGTATACAAGAAAAGGTAAAAGTCAGTTCTTGCTTTTAAGGAACTCACAGTCTAATGGGAGAGACAATGCGCAAACAATTATGTTCAAACAAGCTAAATATAGTATGAATTGGAAATAATCAACAGAGGGAAGGCATTAGAATTAAGAGGAATTAGGAAAGATTTCTTATAGTAGGTGGGATTTTAGTTGTGACTTGAAGGAAGCCAGGAGGTAGAAATAAGGAGGGGAATCATTCTGGGCATGGGAGTAGGGGAGTGAAGGGGGAGTGGCAGAGAAAAGGGAAACAGTCATTGAAAATGACTGAAGTGCATGTGTGGCGGAAGCAAACATGGAGAATAGAGGAAGCACTACTCTCTCAATGTTCCCTTCCAAACAACTTTAAGATAAATGCATCAAATTTAATTTCTGGAAGGACAAAGCCAAGAAAAGGTTGGGGTGAGACATTTTTCCAGTCCAAGACAACCAGGAGGTCAGAGAGGTCTGTGACACCGGAATGGGGGCTGGCACAGAGCATACATAACAGCAATACTAGCTGTGAGATATGACAGCAGCAGGAGTTCCAGGAGCTTTCAGCCCAGAGATGGTAAGGGAATTGGAAAAACAGTTAGAAAGAGATTACAAGGGACCCCTGTGCTAGCACTGGGCACAGAACAGGGCACTGTTAGGCAACTCCATTGCACATATCCACTTCTGAATTGCAGTTGGAGGGCAAAGAGGAGCCCTTTCTGACACAAAGGATTACGGAACCTGAGGAGCAGTAGTGCCTGTGGCTGCAGGGGATGAGGGACCCTTTCTGAGTAAAGATGAGAACAAAGACCAGGAGAGCTGTGACCTCCCTCCAAATCACATTATCATGGAAGCACTGAAAACTTCCAAACCCTTAGAACTAGCTCTGAAAATAGCACAGCAAAAAAGCCTGAAGCTTGGGGCAGTGCTATACTCCCTCCCTCAGGTGAACAGATCTCAACTTTAACATAAAATTCAAGTTAAGACATAGGCTGGGGAAATGAGCAAACAACCAAAAAAGAACCCAACTATAAAAAAGGACTATAGTGACAGCAAAGATCAAGACACAAATTCAAGAGAAGACAATGATGTCAAAATAGCTATAAGCAAAGCTTCAAGGAAAAAAATGCAAATAGGACACAGGTCCAACAAGAACTCCTAAAACAGCTAAAAATTATTTAAAAACTCAAAGAAGTGGCAGAGGAAAAATTGGGAAAAGAAATGAGAACAATGCAAGAAAAGTAAGAAAAGACAATTAACAGTGCAGTAAAGAAGACACAAAAAATACTGAAAAAAATAACACCTTAAAAAAAAATTAGCCAAATGGTAAAAGAGGTACAAAGCTTCATTGATGAAAAGAACTTAAAAAGAAGAATTGGTCAAGTGGAAAAAGAAGTACAAAAGTTCACTGAAGAAAATGATTCTTTACAAATTAGAATTTGGCAAGTAGAAGATAATGACTCCATGAGACATGGAGAAACAACAAAACAAAGTCAGAAGAATGAAAAAAAAAGAAGAAAATATGAAATACCTCATTGGGAAAACAACTGACATGGAAAATAGTCAAAGAGACATCATTTAAGAATGAATGGACTACCTGAAAGTCATGATCAAGAGCCTAGACATCATATTTCAAGAATTATAAAGGGAAACTGCCCAGATATCCAAGAACCAGAGGGTAAAATAGAAACTGAAAGAATCCAACCATCACATCCAGAAAGAGAACCCAAAAAGAAAACTCCCAGGAATATTATCACCAAATCCCAGAGCTCCCAGATCAAGGAGAAAATACTGCAAGCAGCCAGAAAGAAACAATTCAAATATTGTGGGGCCATAGTCAGTATCACAAAAGATTTAACAGCTGTCAGGATAAAGGAGCTGAGGGCTTGGAATATGATATTTCAGAAGGCAATGGAGCTAGGATTACAACCAAGAATAAATTACTCAGAAAAACGGAGCATAAATCTTTTTTGGGGGGCAAGAGGATTGGGGAATGGACATTTAATGAAATAGAAGATTTTCAAGTATTACGGATGAAAAGACCAGTGTTGAATAGAAAATTTGACTTCCAAATACAACACACAAGGAAAAGCTTTTACAGTAGAGGTGAAAATGAGGCAGGGAGGCAAGGAGGGCAGACTTTAAAGTGAAAAAAGGGCCAAGGTGTACATAGGGATTTGTGATTTTGTCTCTAACCTTTTTTTTCTGTTCTTCCTTGTGTAGAAATGTTCATGCTTGCTAGTTTGGTAAGTTCAGAATATCAAAAATAAAGTTCAAGGGGCAGCTAGGTGGCACAGTGAATAGAGCACCTGCCCTGAAGTCAGGAGGACCTGAGTTCAAATCCGGCCTCAGACCAAACACTTGATGCTTACTAGCTGTGTGACCCTGGGCAAGTCACTTAACCCCAACTGCCTTTAAAAAAAAAGTTCAACAATTTTTAAAAAAGACATTTTAAAATATTATTGGAATAAGGAGACAGCATGTTACTTAATCAAGGAAGAGCAAGGAGGTCAGTGTCATTGGATCAAAGATTATGTAGAGAGGGTAAAGAATAAGAAGCTGAAAATGGGAGGGAGGACAGACAAGTTATGAAGGACTTTGAATGTCAAAGAGAGGATTTTATATTTGATCCCAGAAGTGGTAGGGAGCCTCTAGAATTTATCAGAGTGGAGTGACATGGTCAGAATTGTACTTTAAGAAGATCACTTTGACAGCTAAGTAGAGGATGAATTAAAGTAGGAAAAGATTTATGGCAGATACACAACCAGCAAGCTATTGCCTATTGTGTAATGAGGTGATGAAGGCCTGCACCAGAGTGGTGGCAGGGTTAGAGAAAAGAAGGGGGTCTATGCAGAGATGTTGCAAAGGTAAAATCAACAGGCTTCAAAAAAGATTAGCTATGGAGGAGGAAGAACGAAGAGTCAAGGATGACACCAAAACTGTGAACAAGAGAAATTAGAAGGGTGGTGGTGCCCTCAACAGTAGTAGTATGGAAGTTAGGAAGAAGGGAGGGTTTGGAAAGAAATAAAATTAGTTCAATTTTGGACATGCTGAGTTTTAAGATGTTGAAAAGACATACAGTTCAAGATATCCAATAGGGAGTTGGAGATGCTAGAGGTCAGCAGAGAGGTTAGGGTTGGATAAGATTTGAAAATCATCAACATGGAGATGATAATCCAATTCATAGGAGCCAATAAGATCATCAAGTAACATAGCAGAGAGGGAGAAAAGAAGATGACCTAAGAGAGTCCTATAGGAATCCTACCATTAGTGGGCATGACCTGAAGGATGGTCATGGAGAATGGAGAGAAGTCAGTTAGGTAGTATGTGAACCAAATTAATTCCATCTTGTAAAACTGATTCCATTTTGAGACTTAAGTTTCATTTTCCTATAAATTCCATCTGCTTGCTAATCATGGGAATTGAGTAACATCCTGTTTCACATCCAGAAAAGTCCACCTGATCACTCTCCCCACTACCAATTCTCAATCAGATTACCTAATTTTGTCTTTTAATGCATACAACTCTGTCTCTCCTTGTTTTTAGGGTTCAGTGTGAAACTGAGATGGCCTAGTTCCAATTTGTTATGCAATTGGCATGCACTGCTTAATAAATCAACATGCTTGGGACTTTGAACCTTTGTTTCCTCAGTTATTTCAGATTTTACCCACCAGTTTTTGATGCAGGTTGAAATACAGGATCCTGACTACCAGAAGAGTCTTTCAGAAAACCAGAATAATCTGGTTAACCTTTCACTGAGGGACTTTTTTACAGAAGATTGCCCTGGATATCAGACCCCCCCCCAACCCCTGTCTCAATTACATTTTTTCCAAGCTAAGGTAAACTTCCCACACACACACACACACTGTTTGCTAGGAAAAGCAAACCCCATACATTGTTTGTTGGGGAAGACTGGGAAAGATCCTATGTCACTGGGAAAGATAATTCCCCCATACTCCTTGAGAAGGTTAACTCCCACACTGTGGGGGAAGTAGATAGCCCTGGGAAGTCCCTTTAAGGTAACAGATAAAGATAAGCTTCCTCAATGTAGGAGAAATCCCCTTAGGAAATATAAGCTAGGGTAAGCCTCCACACTGTTGGGCAAGTTCCCTTGGGGAAATTATGGGATCCAAATGTAGCATTCTGATGGGAAAGCCCCCTGAAAAATGTCTTTTGGCATAAGACCAGGGAAAGAGTGCATGTCAAACTGACACCCCCTCAGGGAAATTTCCACACAGCAGTGGAGGGGGTGACTAAAAGATAGAACTTCCAAATTATGCTAAAATATATAAAAATCTAAATGGGTCACAAAATTGGCCTGAAAAAGGGACTTTTAATTGCAGCAAATTAAAGGTTTTGAGATTAGACTTTCAGCAGAAGATAAGGTCTCCAAGTATATCTTATGATTTTGATTTTTTATGTCTTTGCAAAATGCTCAGAAAAACTATATTCTGTGTCATATTTAGTGTTGTCTGTAGATTCTGTTACCTTGAAAGATTTCTGAGGAAAAATGCCGCCAGCCAGAAAGACTGCTAAAAAGCTGCAGCCAAAGAATTTAGCATGCTAGGGAAGATTAATGAAGTTTTATACTTGAACCAGTTCTCTGAACTTTCTGTAATCTGATGCTAAGATCCCTGTCCCAGTAAGCAGAACTCATTCCCACCTTAGGCTTTCTGCTGGAGATTAAGGTAAAAAGAAAAAAACCCTGCAAAATATTTTCTCTCTGTTATATCAACCCTGTCTAGGATATAGTTGTTACAGA